CTGCTTGGGGAAGGGTTGGTGTTCTGGAAATGGACATTCAACTTATACATGAGGAGTGAGGGAGGTTGGTGGCTGAAATGTTTAAAAAAGATAATGCATAATCGGTCAGGGGCTTGACTGGGAGCCAGGCTACCAGGAGTGGGTGAAAGTGGACACTTCTCTTCCATCCTCCTATCTTCATTTCAGGAGTATTTCATATAAATAATGCATAATCGGTCAGGGGCTTGACTGGGAGCCAGGCTACCAGGAGTGGGTGAAAGTGGGCACTTCTCTTCCATCCTCCTATCTTCATTTCAGGAGTATTTCATATAAAATATTAATTTGCCAAAAAATTAACATGCAAGGCCTCTTTAAAAACAAAGGACTCTAGCAGCTTTTGCATTTCTAGCATGTAGGAATTTCTCCACTCTACCACACAGGTTTAACACTTAATTATTTAACAAATATTCTCTGACCATCAACTTCGTGTCAGGTGGTTGTGAGCACTGAAGATACAGCAGGGCACAAAAACAGACTCAAATCCTCCCCCACTGGTGTGGGAGATAGACAGTGTTCACAATAAAGAAGGATGTCAGCAGAACGCGCTGAGGCAAAGTAGATAGGACAGAAAATGCAGGGTGGGGCGGGGTCGCAATTCAAGGCAGAGTGGCGTGGGCAGGCCTGTGGAGAAGAGACATTTGAGAGAATATCTGGGGGGTGTCTCTTTATGCTCCAAACACATTATATATCTAAATTAATCTAGCTCTGACTCAGATCTGCAGCGTAACAAGGTAGCGAGAAATTTCAGTTCAGCTGGGCTTCGAGATCCCCCACTTCCACAGGTGGTGAGGGTCCGCAGGGCTTTACGTCTTGGTCCTCTGAGTGAATTTCTGCTCCAGCCCAGTTACTCTTGAGGTCTCAGTGTTTAAACCTGCAGGGTTCCTTTGAGGGGCCAGATATTTTCTTAGGGCTTTGGGGCAATGACACAAGTCCAGGCTACTCTGGGAACCGCCCCCCAAACTCCCAAACCCGTCTTCAGTTTAGAGGCTCCTCACCATGTGGTCACTTCTCCTCACATTTCAGCCCTTCTAATAGCCCAAGCTCCCGAACCAAAGCCTGGGTGCTATTTCCAGGTGTCTGCTACCTTTGCCTTTAATCCCAAAGGCTATGGTAGCAAGGGAACAACCTTTTAAAGATGAGACTCAGGAGAGCCCTAATTCCTTTGAGTATATTGAAGCACGAAGGACAAAATGAAATAAATGTCTCAATATACTACCTTGCCAATACATGCAAATAACAAATGTGGTCACTGTGAATTATTTCTATTTGGCAATACACTCAGAAGACTGTCAGAATAGTTTAGTTCATCCCCCACTCCCACTTCTTGCCTATTAGCATTGTGAGTATTCGTGCTTGAAGTCACGGAGAAAGGACATTCCTTTAAGAATATTCTGTTACCCACACTGTTTCCTGTCTCTCCCTCCACCACCAGTTGGGGTAGATTCGCAACAGTTCAGTTTATCTGAAAGACCAGCAAATGTGAAGGCAGAGAGTTGACAATGGGGAGCAGAGAGATTAGGAGAGAACCGAGGGTCAGATGGAAGAAGGGTGGAAATGGGAGAAAGAAGCAGGACAGGGAGGGAGGGGAGTCCTGAGGGACAGGAGGGAAGGGACAAAAGAGAAAATGAAGTTAAAGAAACTTGGAACGAGGGAATGAAAATGAGAGAAATACAGAATAAGGAGTAAGGATAATGAGGAAACACGTGAAGGGCACCAACTGTGTTATATTCATGCAGTTCTGGAGGTCAGAAGTGGAACATGGAGTCACTGTGCCAAAATCAAGGTGTCAGCAGGGCTATGTTTGTGGAGGTTTGACAGTAAAATCCACTTCCTTGGGGCCGGCCCGGTGGCGCACTGTAGCAGTGCGCCGCTTGGGAGTGCGGCGGTGCTCCCGCCGAGGGTTCGGATCCCACATACAGACTGGTTCCCGCTCACTGGCTGAGCGAGGGGCGGGCGCGGCACCGCGGGTTGCG